CGAGCGGCGCACGCTACAGCAGCGCCGCGCGTTCAGGCGAACAGATACTAAGACAAAACATTGATAGTTTTAATTTGCCTGTTACTTCCGGCATACGCCACAAATAACAGTAGATAAAATTTGTGTTGAAATGTTCAGCAATTTTTCGTACCAAATTTTTGAGTGCGAAAAATATCTTGGATCAGGTTGATACTACAAAAACGATTTATCAGTCACGAACGGTTTTCAACTAAAATAGTTTGTTCTATTGACTTCACGGAATTTCTCTCGAACAAGCATGTGATTCGGGAATCCCTGAAAGGTATTTTCTGTCTAGTGTTTCGAATCAAACGCACAGTGGATGTAACCATTCCCTGCGCAGGCCAAATTAGGGCATATGTTATATTTTAGTGCATATAAAAGTACACGACGTATGATATCCCAAATTAAACTGTGATTAATCCAGAAAATGATAGGTCCTGTTTTTGTCCCCTTTTAGGGGAAGGTTGCTATCGATGGGCCACTTTAACAAAACGCTCNCTAATATGACATAAGATATTCAAAAGTAGACATCCGTTAGATTAGAACAGAGGGACGCATGCATGTGAAGTTGAATGCACCTAGCAAGCATGTATCATCATGCTACAGGACACATAAAATCTTCAAATCACACGTCAAATCTTCACAGGCAGACTTCTTGTACTCTTCTTCAACTACGAACTCCCCGTGGCTATCTCCTGCCGAGAACTGACTGGTCCCTGAACCGAAAGAATTCTGTCACTCATTTAGCCGAGGAACGGACAAGCTTCACAGGAAACACATGTCACGTGACCACCATCCGCCGCCGCTTGACGTCACCGCGGGCACGGAAAATACAGCCTCCTCTATTGTTGCGTGTTGGACCGTATTTACAGAGCTGTTGCCTGGCAACGCGTTGATCAAATCCGTTACAATATCAAAACAAAACAAACTCAGTGGCTTGAATTCGCAAGCGAACTATACCGACCGAGCGAACCGTTGCTTGTCAGCGAAATTAGTGCCAACTTTAGCGGAAAGAGGGTATCACGTGGTCAGCGCAACGAATCCCCACGGCCGTTAATTTCGGTTTTCTAGACCGGAGCCTCTATTACCTTGAAAAAGTTCCTCAATTATCCTCACGAGGCTGAACCCCGTTCCAGACTCCCTACGTCTCAGAAAATCTGGTAGCTCCGGGAATCGAACCCGCACTTCTGGATCCGTAGCCAGGAACTCTGACCAGTAGACCACAGACGCGGTCCAGTATCTATACTTACAAACTACTTAACAACGCAACTAGTTTAGCAGCGTGGAGAAAGGTACGTACAAGCCAATGGAGCATACATAACCAAACTGACAATAACAAGCTTACGAAGTGCACAAATAACACGCATAATACTCACCCCGTAAGCGGAATGCTGCGTCAATAAATCCAACAACGAGAAATACCCTTAAGCAAATATCTTTTAGATGAATGAACGACGATACAATGGAAATAATATTAAGATATTAATTAATTTTATTTTCAAGCTCTGTTTCATTTGAATTAGGAAATATCTTGTTCATAACCAGATATATAACTTTGATATTCATTGCAAAAATGTTAACAACACCTGATGATGGCCGTGCACAGCCGCAAGATGTAGTGAGGAGGAAGAAGGGTGACTAGATAAGTTGCACTTAAGACGAACACAATCATACGTATGTGTATTATGGTTAGAGCGTAATCAGTACAGCCTTTTCATTTACACTTATTTTCTTTCAATGGCTTTCACAGGCTCTTCAAGGCCCTGATCTCTTATTCAGATGCGTTATAATTTTTCAAAGAGGGTAGCACTCCTTGGGCGAGTGATCGGTACGTCGCAAGGCCTCCACCTAAACACAGGACAACACACAAACGGAATAAACGCATACACACACCAAATATCCATGCCCTGAGTGGGATTCGGACCAACGATCCCAGCCTCCAAGCAAGCGAAGACAGTTCACACTTTAGATCGCGAGGCTACTGTGACCTGCCATTTATACGTATTAGGCCCTGTTAAATACAGGATTAAGCATAGGCAGCTAACACCCCCCGTGTATAGAACGTCCATTTGTTACTCGCATTTTGTTACATCCTGTTGCACCATTTATTATTGCTAATATAGGACATTTTATTGGTAAATTATTATGCTACATGCAAATCACGCCCCTACACATGTGGACTTTATGGCTCACGTCCAACTTTCTGCTGGTTTAGATTTTATCCCAACACCTGTCCTAATTAGATTTCAGTAAATAGACATTTCGATTAATATTTCTATGGTTGTAAAGCTCGTAAACATTGTAATGTGAAGACCCGTTGCTACGCGACAACCGCGCAATGTGCGGATATACCAGGCCAATTTCTGGACAACGATTCGGTAAACACGTTCCCAAAGCAACAAACGCTAACGCAACAATAGAAGACCTGTTTTCTATGTTGTCCGTGCCGAGATGTTATAAGCAAGGGACAAGTTATAGCTTAGAGAGAGGGCGCCCCACGAAAACAAAACCGTAACTGTCAAACGGTAAAATTAATATCTGGTCATGAGCCCCAGATGGGGCTCGACACCAAGACTTACTGACTGACTGACCGTCAGTCGCAATGTGACTTTGACTTTGACTTTGACTAGCTTAGTTCTGTACGGGTGTCTGTGAAGAGAGGACTTGGGCCGGAAGACAGAGGAATAGATACTGTTGGAGCCGTTGCCGAGAAACGGATAGTAACAGACTGAGAACAGTAGACTGTGTGTTCTATTGAATTGTAAATTATAGAAACAGTGTTACAGTTATTTTCAGTTACGATCTGTAAGTGGTCAATAAATCTATACACCAATCCATAACCCGTCTATATTCACACTGCCACGTGACAATACAATTGTTATAGGGCTTACATACAGGCAAAAGCAACTTAAAACCAATTTCAAGCACCCCATGTCGAACACTCTGATGATGGTCTGATCACCATCATGTGGCCATGGTATATAGATAGGCTGGAAAGTAAGAGTGTAATAAGTCACACCTAGAAAATACCTAAATTAGAAGGTGTAGGCTGCTGAGGGACATAAAAATATTAACTCGTAATTAACAGAAGATTTTTGTGTCCTGAAAAATAGCAGAACCTCACAACATGAGACTGACCGCAGGCTACCTAGAATTATTCTCATCTTTGTCTGCCGGACATCACAGCCGAGGGTGAAGCTATCCCTGTAACAGACAATGGAGACCCATAGGGCCGTGAGACGTTGAGGCTCCCACATTTCCTACACAAGCTGCTCACAGATGGCGATAAGGTTGTCAGGCTTACACACCGGCAGCCTTTTACCCCCTCAGGAAGGTTCCTGGTACTCATTTCTGGTAGAGTCTGAGTCGATCCCAGGGCCATAGTGCGGCTGGAAGGGTTAGGTAAATTGAAAAAAGTCCACCTCATCAAGGCTATAATCCGCGACCTTCCTGCTTGTAGCGCCTCAACCAAGTACGCTAGGGGGTAATATTCTGGAGGTCTAAGTTTCGATTATCTTTCGAGCTTCGGCTATGTTGAAGTTCGCGTGGTTTTTCTTAGTTGCTTCAGGCATATGTTGGGATTGCATGAAACTAGACCGAGACGGCTTCCTTCCCGTTACGTCCCATTCATTCATTGTTGGTCATTGCGTCTTTTGACGCTATGATAAATCTCATCTAATTTAATTTCAGCGCCACTAAATATATTTATATTGCAAAAGCAAAATTACCCCGGTGTGTAACTAATTAAGCACTACGCCATGAAGACGTAGGGAGGAGTGGGTGCGTACAACCACTTATTTTTAACTTCGGCACCAGTTGGAGTTAAGTGGTCAACTTCACGCCACGGCCGCTTTACGCCCGCGGAAAGAGCCCCAGAGCCTGTCTGGACGACGTGGAGATGAGAAAACTCTTGCTCTTACCGGGACTCGAACTCCGACCCCTCGGTCGTCGAGCCCGTAAGAAGTCACTATACTGACTGCGCTATAAATTAATAATAGCTGAAAATTAAATTAGCCCTTTGACCTAGGGCCTGCGATACAATAAACATGTAATTAACAAAATTAGGCTATGACGAAGTAAAACTGTGGCCTATATGTCCTATTTCATTTGAACAATTATGTTTCCTGTACACAACGGAAGCGCAAAACAAATATATTTTTGCTGCAAGGATTTTATGTGTTTCACTCTTTATCTGAAGGTGCTAATATTCAATGAATGCAACCAAAATAACCATCCAACATTGAAAGGCTTTCCGTACGTGTGTTATCTCTATTGCGTTGGGTGGAAATCTCGAAATCCGGCCTTTTCTAACTATATCAGCCGCGAGTTTGCATAGCCTATTTGGTGTGTAGTTACAAAATTGTAATATCACGTAACCCAGCTCATCGCATCGCATCGCATCGCATCGCATCGCATTCAGCTTCATAATTCACACACACACACCCACACACACGGATAAATATATATATAGAATATAGGCCTACCATTTTATTAATCCACCCCGGTACCCCTGTAGCAGAGCGTAACAGAATATGGTCTCTTATTCACTGTCTCACTCACTCTTCAAATCTCTATTCTGCTACAGACCTTGATTTTTGTTTTATGGGGCTTCGGTTATTATCTAACAGCTCAATCTGTGACTCCACCTACCGAACGTCACTTCTCACAGCCTCCTATATCCACCAATCCAAACTCGCCGCGTTCCTTTCCCCTTGGATGTATCCAATTTCTATCCCCACCCAAACTGCTCTATGGATTATGTAAGCATACTTTCTATTGGTGAGCTGGTCTGTTACATGGGCGGGCACCGGAGGAGGACGTTTAAATAAGCTGTGAACTTGGTACGTGGCAGGGTTGCGTGTGTCGGAGAGAGACAGGTGGAGGGGATATAATGGAGGGGAGGGTAGACTGAGGAGACTTGACTTGCGTTTAGAAGCGCGGTGCTCAAGTTTAGTAGTTCGATGGGGCTTAGGGATGAGGAAGAAGAAGAAGAAGAATGGGGAAAGGGGGGAGGGTCAGATCTAGATAGAAATGTTTTGGTTTTCGTGTGATCTGTACATGAAGTCTTCAAACCGAGTAGGGGACAGGCCAAGTAGACAGGTTCAGTGGTACACACGACAAGTGGACAGGATGTCAAAGCGGTAACGAATTCTTCACTGTCGTTTTACAATAACGTGAATCTGGTCTGTAACGGATCGAAACAACTCCTCGGCTTTGATAAGTTAACTAAAAAAAAAAAAAAAAAGAATTGAATGCTTTGGCGTTGTCAACGTTGATAATTGTAATGTGTCGAAGTTTTACGTGTTTCGTTTTAAGTGAACTGTGAATGTTGGTGTCGTGATGTAGTGAACAGAGAGGATTAGAAGTCGATATTTCATTTTAACGTGTTTTGTATCTCAGTATTCGCAACGCCGCTTATGGTCATATAAGACAATAAATACAATACATCTGGTATCCAGACCCGACCACCGAAACCAAGTGAACTGAACTCTGCTTTTCCTCGTGCCTGTCATCACTAGGCACTTACTTATAGGATAAGGGCGAGAATTAACCAGTGGTTTACTAGTTTCTTCAAGTTCAAACATTAAAATCATAAAACAGATCTCTTACGAAACAAGCATTTTACTTAAAACTGAGTTTGTATATAGTAAAATAGAATTATTTAAACTCAATACAAACGTAAAGTATCGACACATGCAAGATTCTGGGTGTAATCAACCGATAAATTATATAAGTGTTGACAGTGTAAAATACCTCATTAAGCACTCTGGATGGCCCAAACTGTCTTAACATTCATTAATAACAATATTAGCGTGGACATGTCAGTTCATGGAGGCGGTTCAAATTGAAGCGTTCCTGTGGAAGAGGAAGGGAAGAGGAGAGGGATTGTTGGAGGGGAGGTAAAAAGAGAGCTTCGTTTGAAGGAAGAGTGAGACGGAGGAAAGGAGGAGGAGAACAGTGGAAATCCCTCCCTCTGTGCCCCACGCATGAAGTTGTATAAGTCTTAAACAGGAGACGAATGAAAAGAGTACCTATCTTGGACTTGATATGTTAAGAATACGCATTTAACACATGACAGGTCGCTAACGGCTTCGAACACTTTTGCCCAAAATAATGTGTAAATCGTAATCACAATACATAACTATATAATATCTTTATAGAGGCCTATATATAAACTACATTTATTAAAACAGGTTAGCAGAAATGTACAATCTTGGGCTTTCATTTAAAATTTTCCGTTAAAATGGATAAGTTCTTTCGAAATCTCCAAGTTCTTCGATCTATATCGTGTCAGAACCCGTTATTAGTGACACTGACAGGTGCTGCTACGTTGCGGTGAGAACAGTGACTTATTAGCCAGACACGATTCTCGTGTTTATAAAACATCAAACCTGGAACTTGACTTCGTAACGCAAAGCCAACACCAGACCGATGAAGAAGGCTTGAATGTGCCATTTTACTTCAAAATCTAGCAAACCAATTTTTTCTTTGTATATTTTGTAATATATTTCTTGCTTTCGCGTCAATCACAGAACAGTTAAAATGGTTCTCTTTCCACGTCTGCTTCGTAAAATTACAGACTTGTAGCATGATCAGTTTCCTCTCGTTCTTAATGTGGCGCGCGTGTGAAGAAAATTATGACAAGATTGTATTTGCTGTAACCTCCATATAATGGATAGCAACAGTGATAAACACGTTATTGAAAATATATTAATTACAGTTTTAATATTCCGTGGCCAAGTTGCGTAACATGATACAAAAAAGTCGATTTTGTTACAACTTCAAACCACTGCAATGAAAATCTTAGATGCCTACATAAAAACTTTGCAGGGCTGATGGTGAGTTTTGTGCTGCAATGTTATGAACTAACAGAGCCTTGCATGGTTCCTCGGGTAACTGCATCGGCTGTAATATTCAGTGAACTGTTTTAGGCTGAGACGTTTTGGGTAAGACTTTATTAATAAATGCTGTGTTTGAAAAAAAACTTAAATTCGTTCCTAAGGCATGGAAAATTGTAAATATTCTTTTGAATATCACTAAATTCAATTAGGCCTAGTGCTGTGAGCGAAATCGTGTAGGGATGGCCCTGGAGACTGACCGCTGTAGCCCTAGCAGCGCGTCCAGTCCTGGTCCGGCGTCGAGCACCCGCCCGGGGAGTGATCACTCATCTCTCAGCAACAGGTCAGCATCGCCGGATTCTTGCCGGAGTCTGTGCTGTAACAGCAACAGCCCGCAACCTCCTTCAATTCTTCACACGCCTTCTGCTTCCCACGAAACACCCCATCTTATGCACCACACTCCACAGCCTCCACCTCCCTTGTTCCCCCCGCACCACCAAGAACAAAGGTGTCAATGTTGTAGACCAGTATCACCCCTAATATACGCTGGTAATGCCATTCACAATACACGTACCCCAAAATCAACCCCATCATCTCCTAGTCATAATCGTCAGCCTTTATGCAACCCCGTACATACAAGAACACCGCCATTTTCATCACCATCCCCCCATTCCGCGTCTCCTTCTCCCCAATCGTCTCTTCCTCCATCCCCTAGTCAAAACCGTCATCACCAGCCTTCCCCACCAGATCACCAGCAGCCAGGATCTTCCCCCAACGGACAGTCCCCGCGCCCCACAAACAATGAAAGAGTGCCCCAACCGACAACACTGCCCTTCTCTGTAGCCAACATCTTGAGGCCGGATTTCGGAAGAAGAGCGGTAATAACCTCAAAGCAACACGAATCTTTATACAGGCCCGGAGCGATCCGTCGGGCCGTAACCCCAATATGTGATTACCAAAGACTTTACCGGCCTCACGAACACTTACCAGGGGTACAACCATTACCAGCACCGAAAGCAACAAAGAAACAGCCCTCGTCTTGGTCACCCGTCACAGCGACAAGGGCCTCGTCACTTCCTGAGGAAACTGCCAATAGCAAAGCCTCGTCGAATCACCGACATGCGAGGAGTAAAGACGCCCAGCTTCCGGTCCAGAGTTCAGGCACCGCGAGCCCTCCACTGTCACCCGCCAGCAGCACGGTGTCTGCCACCTCTTCAACTCCGGACGAGAAGCTGGTCACTGGGGACTCGACGAAGGGTCCTCAGCTCTGGCCCGCGTGGGTTTACTGCACGCGCTACTCCGACAGACCGTCTTCTGGTGAGTCTCTCTCTCTCTTTCTCCCAGAGTTCAAGTAGCTTCGAAGTAATTTTCAGACATCAGGGACTTCATGCAGCATGTCCATGGGCCCACACGTCCCACTGCATCATCAGCTCTATCTGCCACATTAATCAGAATCTCAGGTGAACGTTCTCTTTTAAAATGCCGTTTCTTAGAAAATGGGACGGCCTTAATTTCGGGCCCTTAAAATACATATAAATTAATTCTTTCAGCTTCAAACCCTCAAAATTTTATTATACACTCAACGTAAATAAAAAACTACTTTTCATTCTGATTTTCTCGTTTGCAAACTACGGTGTCACCTTATATTCTGGTTTATACCTTAAATTTATCTTTACATTCCGTCTCCGTTTATTGAGATAAAATGGATTAACGTGAAGTGCTTACTATATTCGTACGTAAGACTATTGCCTTTGTATTTTTTATTAATAACCGCAATAGGTTTCTTCAATTTCTTTCACAGAAAGGAGGTGCTATTTTGGGAAAATGCTTAGACATACATAATTGTAGTGTGTAGAGCCGTTACTATGCGACGACTGTGAGATAGGCGAATACACCAGAGACGTTTCAAGGCAACGGCTCGGTAAACACGTTCCCGTAGCAACGAATCGACGCGCAACAATAGAGGTACTCTTGGAAACGAGGTGTTTCTACGTGGTCCGTGCCAAGGAGTTATATTGAAGAGAACTGAGACGACCAAGTTAATTTATTTCTGTACGGGAGTTTGGGAAGTGAAGGCTTGAGTGCGTGAGTCTTTAGAATCTCCGCTATTAAAGCCGTTGCTAAGAAACGGCTGGTAACGACACTGCAGGCTGGAAAATGCTTGTAAAATATGGATATCAGCGATAGTGTTATAGCTATTTATAGCTGAGACCTGCATAAGTGGTCAATAAATCGACTCTAATACAGGTGACTATGTAGTAAAAAATCACAAGGCCTTATTATTTATATTTTTCTTTTTGCGATACAGACCATTAGGCGGGCGCCAATTACTTATGAGAGCCTCATAATAGGGCTTAACTCTATAACTATTTGTAATTGACTTCGAAGCATGAAAATAACCTAAATAGTACATTATTTAACATTTAGTTCCTACCTCATGGAAAACACACTGCTTCTCCAAGAGTAGTCTTTGTTGTTTAGGGAAGAAATCCATTTTTATTCTAAAATTCATGTGAATTGCCAGAAGCCAATCTGTAGTTACGATTCAGAGAGTGTGAATTGTAAAGTAGGAGGTGTATTAAGAGCCACTGGGCCTTAAATGGTTACACATAGTGTCGGCATTGGTTAGTACAAAGTCTTAGGCTTATATGTTCGTTATCTGATTCTTACATTATATTAGCTTACTTTAAATTAATTATTATCCTGCGACAACAAGCTGTCATTCTGTAGAAGCAAAATTTAGCTTTGCCCACACAAACGACCGGCTAACATTTTTCCAACTTTCAGTCGCAGTGACTACTCCTATTTCCAAATATTTGAATTACACAATAATTTTCTCTTACGAATTTATATTAGTGTATGAATAAAAAATTAGGACAATTCCATGAAAATTTGAATCGTGAAGTTAAGTTCTTTCAGAGATGAAAGTAGCTCCTCTAGTTGCATGAAATAATTAATCTCCTTGTCTTATATTTACGTCTGCCAGTTCAGACTTCTCCCTTTTTGTTCTTGTCTTAAGCTTAGATGCAGTAGCTAACCCACCCAAAGAGTTCTACTACCTTATTTACATCTGTCTATGCATTTAATTCTTTTATCATTCATTTTTTCATTTTGTTTGTAATGTTTGAACATACGTCATAGTTTTAATATATGCTTTTTTATTCTCATAAATTCCATTTAGTGGAACTTCGAACGTACATGGAAAAATAGCTTATGTTCAAAAGTTTTATTAAGATATTTGGCCTATTGCTTAAAAACTGTCGAGTTTAAACTACATAGGTACTCACATAAATTCATTCATTCATCATTCTAACATTCATTCTTTCTATATCTCTTCATCCCTTTGTTAGATCCTGGCCGCTTTTTCAGTTTCGTAATCCTGTACACAGTCGGTAGGTCTCCTTGGACAGATCAGCCTGTCGCAATGCCGCTACCTACACACACGACAACACAAACACAGAATAAACGCACACACAGACATCAGTGCTTCTAGTGAGATTCGAACTCAGTCTCTAACAGAAATTAGTACCAGAAATATTCCAGGGAGTAAAGGGAGGCCGACGCGTAAGGCTGACAAATTCACCGCCATCTCTGAGCCGATTCTATAGAAAATGTGGGAGCCTCGACGTCTCAAAGCCCTATGGGCCTCCGTAGTTTTTTACAATGATCCACAACAGGATGCAAAAACTACAGATTAACCAGCAATCTCATAAGATTTGAGGTTATCACAGCGTTGGCTATGAAGCGTATTGTCCTCTGGGATTTGAAGAGGAGCGGAAGTGTACCGAAGTTTTCAAGGAATATATCACCTCCATCTTCAGGTTCGAAGAATAATTCTTGCTTGTTCGGCTTACCCTTCGATTCTGAAGATATAGACTACGCGGCATCACATCCAAGAATACGCAGACTTGTTCATCAATGTCTTTAAACGGACATCAGTCGATAACTTAGCGTATTACCAGAATCGATACTTGAAAGGGTGACGTAAGTAATTTCGAAATATGTGAGAGTGTGTAAAGTGATGAAACAAGACGGATGATGATGATGATGATGATGATGACAGTCTGTTCCAGGTATTATCCTTGAAACTTGCAGAGATATCGAAGGGAAATAAATATCCAGGGTAAGATGCCTACAGCAGGTTCCGATAGAAATATATTAATGACGTGAATAAGACACGCTTCTGCGGTGAAATTATAACAGCAGCTGTTCACAGGTAGCTGAATCTTTCGAAACGAAACAACATCAAGAAATAAGTACTCACGTATTTCCATGTAACAACAGGGTGTTTGTAAAGTTGCAGGCTCTTCAGTGTCGTCGTTCTCAGCGGTTCAACTTCCACGTTTTGTAGAGCAGAGAACCGAAATATAATTGGGTATAGTCTGTTGAATGCCAACCGACGTTTCAGAGAAACACGTCGCCTCCATCTTCAGGGTCGAAGAATAAGCCAAGACATAAAACAGCATGAAACAGTTAGCAAGTAGAACAAAATCGGTTTATATAGGAGAACAGGGGCACGAAGTAGCATAGTTCGTTAAGGCACTGCTACAAGCCGAAAGGTCGCGAATTCGATTCCCGATAAAGCCACTAGATTTTTCAATTGATCTAATCCTTCCAGCCGCATTATGGCCCTGGAGTAGACTCAGCCTCTAACAGAAATGAGTACTATGAAACTTCTTGGGGGTAAAGGGCAGCCGGCGCGTAAGGCTGACAGCCTGATCACCATCTAAGCGGCGATAATCTAGAAATATGGGAGCCTCGATGTCTCAGAACCTTCTGGGACTCCACGGTCTGTTACAGGGATAGTATTACCTTTATGGGGAATAAGGCATTATATACCACACGAGAGAAATCTTCGTATGCACCGATATGAAAACTTCGAATCCTACAATAATATAATGTTTGAAACATGAAAACTTGAACATAGGGGATAGGAAAGAGGGAATTGTTGTCATCAAAAGTGTGTTGTCGTTTTAAGGTTCGGCCGCATAGAGCGCTACGCTATGTTCGCTACGTACGCTAGGTACGCTTTGTACACTCTGCGACTCAGCTAACATAGGCAACATAGCGTACGTAGCGTACGGAAGTCTGTGTGGCCAGTAACAGTGGCAATAAAGAGAGATATTTTTCTGTTCGTATAGCGAACATAGGGTACGTAGCGTGCGTCGCGTACGTAGCGCTCTGTGTGGGCGAACATTTACTCAGTATTATCGTTGATATATAACCCTCATATCCTATGGATCTAAATGTAATTTGTATCCTAAAAATAACGAAATTTTGATGCTGAACCATTAAGAATTAAGTTGGCGGTTCATAGAACTTAAATTTAAAGACGGTGAAAACACTTTCTGGATTAGGCCTATGAACCCACGGGCACAGATTGTGCAGTTAAGCTTATGGATGTTAATGTGCAGGATAGGCGATAAATCCACTCAGAGTTCTAACTTTCAAGATTCTCAATTATTATACATTTGAAAAGTGACTGAGGTTTGGTATTCTGGGATTCGAAGCCACGGAGCGCAGTAGAAGTTCACGAAGATGGAACTCTGCCAGACCAATAGGAACTCAGGTTCCAAATGATCACAACTTTCGCTTCTCTGAGTACTTCAAGAGATCCTTTCAGAATATCGCTACATCAACACAACCTGTCGGTGAGGTCTCGGGCTTTCTGCGCCGTGTCTGTGAAGAGTCAAGAGTAAACAAAGACTATGGCGAGAGATTGCATGTGCTCACGACTCAATACCCCTTTATCTTAACCCTGAAATACGAATAATGGCATTAACTCTGAAACGGACAATCTAATTGTGTACTACAACTTTCTTATTAAATTGATTTGTATGTAAGTTTAATCATAGACCGCCTCTGTGGTCTAGTGGTCAGAGTTCCTGGCTACAGATCCAGGGGCCCCGGGTTCGATTCCCGGCTCTACCAGTTATTCTGAGAAGTAGTGGGTCTGGAACGAGGTTCACTTAGTCTCGTGAGGATAACTGAGGAGCTACTCGAACGGAAAAGTAGCGGCTCCGGTTTAGAAAACCGAGATTAACAGCCGTGGAAATTCGTTGGGATGACCACGCTACACCCTCTATTCGCTAAAGTTGGCACTAACTTCAACAGGCGGCAGTCGCTCGGTCGGTATAGTTCGCTTGCGGACTAAAATAATGGAGTTTTTGTTTTTGTAATCAACGAAAATTCCAGTTCATTCCAATTCTGAAAATTAATATAGGATATGTTGGATTTGAGATATTCGTGATGCTAGTTTCTAAGAGTACTGTCTTCTGAGAAGTGGCACGTTGCAATCCAAGAGGAAGGCTCGTTAT